TGGGGGGGGCCGGCCCCCTCGTGGCCGTGGAGCAGCCGGCAGCGGCGAGAGCTGCTCGCAGGACTGCAGTGCAAGGACTGCACCCATTGGCCTCTGTTTTACCTTTTTTTTAGGGAAAAAAAAAAAAAAAGAGTGCTCGCATTTGCAGGACTACAGGCATTTTCATCCTCTCCACACACCCCTGGCTATCCAGGGTCCTTGGTTTCCTCAGCTGCGGTAACAGCAGCTACAGCTGCTCGGTGCGTACTTCCCTCTTCGCACAGCAGCAGCCCTTTCCTGTGCACAGAAGCCCTGCGGTGACCTTCAAAGAAAACAACATATTTGCCTCAGCACTTTTTGCTTGGGTTCCTGACACTGGTTTTCTCACCCAGCGGGCCCCGAGCTGTGTGCGAAGCGGGCCAGCTCACGCGCCCACCTGCAGGCAGCCAAGGCCAGGCCTGCAAGAAAAGCATTACGGTTCTGTGTGGAGAGCGCGGCCATGCTCCAAATGGACAGAAAGACCAGTGCAGTAGTTTGGGATTTTGCAAAACTAGTAGGATTTTATTTTATTTTATTCTTAGGAAGCCAATAGTGTGGTTTCTTCCTGGGCGCACTGGGAATCAGGCAGGCCCTGGTGCAGCAGAGCAAGGCTAGGCTGGATCCTCAGGGATGGGGTATCCCCTAAGTGCTGGGCTAGGAGCTGCAGCAAAGCAGCTGCCTCAGCGTTGCGCCGTTGTCACGTCCTCAGTCATTCAGGCTGCAGCAGGGTCCTCAGCAGCGTCCCTGGGGCAGCTGCCCTCACCTGCGGCTTCCCAGGGCATGTAAGCTGCAATTGCAGCACAGCCTAAAAAAAACCTCCAGAAACAAAACAGTGCTGGAGCGTGGTCCACAGTAGCTGCTTACCAGACCTGCAGAAATAGCTGATGGACCAGCTAAGCCCTCCAGTGAGGACTGAAGAGCCTTTCCCTTGCTCAGGAGACGTGTGTCGCGGCTGGTCTGGCTCTCGGGGGCTGCTGAGGCTGCAGCGGCGCAGGGGGCCGCAGCCCACGAGGCAGTGCCATCGCAGTGCCAAGGTTGGCTGCCCCCATTTGAATTCTTCAAAAGCAAAGCGCTCTCACCCTGAAGACCAGCTCGGCTTCTCAGGCACCTCGTTCCCAGCAGCAGCAGCTGCTTCGCATCTGCGTTTGTGCGGTTGGACATATGCAAACCTGCGCCTGGGGCAGACGCCGGCACCACACGGCAGCGCCGAGCACGGCCCCAGCCGGTGCTGTGAGTGTGGGGCAGGCCCAGGTTTCGGTGCCGGTGGCTCCCAGCCCCTTCCCGCCGCACCGGTGCTGCACGTGCACACGCTGCCCAACCGCCAGCTGTGACTGGGAGCTGGCTGATGGAGGTGAAAAAGCGTTTGGTTGTGTAGTGCTGCTGGAATGATCTCCTGCGCCAGGGTGATTTCCTTGGCTGGGCTGGTCACAGAGGGCCGGGGCAGCCAGCGGGGACCAGCTCTGCCCTGGCGCCACTGCAGAAGGGGTAACACCAAGGGACCATCCTCACCGTCCTCTCCCCCTGCTTCATCCACTGCCCCCGGGTTTCTCCTTATGTCAAGCCAAGCTTCTGCCGAAGGCCAAGCCAAAGATACACACAGGTGTTTCCTGGCTTGGCAAAAGAGGATCCTGCCTTTGCACATCTCAATAAAGCTACTTCCACATCCGCATACGGGCAGCGCACATCGGAGCTGAGCAGAGCACCGCAAGCACCTTCTCAGAGAGTCAGTCTGCAAGAGGCACTCGCATGCGGGACCTCCAAGCTGGGCTCGGTTACTTGGCGTGGATGAGCCCAAACCCCTGGCGCTGTTGGACTGCAGGCTCCATTGGGCCAGGACTTCATGGCAATGGATTTTGTACCACCTGCGATGGTAATTCCCCCACCCGACTATTGCTGCTGAAATCCAGGTAGCAAAGAAAGAGCACTCCCTAACGCGCTGTGTGGAAGACAACCATCAACCCCCCAGAAAAACTTGAGTAACATCATGATGAGCTTGCTAACTGGAAGGTGAGGGCGGTACGTGCTTCCAAGCACTCCAGAAAAGTTATTTAATGAATATCTCATGCCTTCCTGACATACTCAACATGGAAACGCGCTCACTGAACGCACAAACCCAGGTCAGCTAACGGCCTTGGCTGGCAGCAGAAGTCAGAGAATTTGTGGTACGAATCTGTGTTATCATCAGGGCTGAGCCCCTAGTTCCAACTAGCGTGTGCTGGAGCCCAAGTCGCCCTGTCTGAACTCAGGGAGACCCAAGGCGGGAGCACGAGCCCCCAGGGAGGCCCCCGGCACTGCTCCAACCATGAGGAGAAACCGTGTAGCCCCCGGAGCCGCTTTTCCCAGCGGCTGCGGTGCTTTTCCCAGGCCTCAGCAGGCTTTGTCTGCCCCAGATTTAGATACAGCAGCTCCAGTAACGCTCTGGCAACCACAGCCTCACGTATGCACAGGTATTTTTGGTCTAAAGAAGAAGATAATCAGCATCTAAGAGAGGGAGAGCCTTTATGCTTGTATAAGCCCAGGCACGGCCACAGCGGTGGAGGTGCAACGTAGCTCATGCTGTTATTACCTTTCATTCAGGAATAAGGTGCATCCATTAACATAAGCTCTTACAAAACCTCTTTGCCACTCTTATTGCCTGTGATTTTATGAGCCCCCAGCAAAACCCCAACACAGGGGGCCGTGTCTGTGCACCAGGCAAGTGCAGCCCCTCTGCCCACACAGAAACGCTTCTGCCTGCAGGACACTGAGGCACCGGAGGGAGAAGAGGAGCCACCGCATCCCCGGCATGGGGGTCAGCAGCAGCAGCGGCTCCTCGGCAGCCAGGCAAAAGCTGCTGCGCTCCCCATGGATAAGGGCTGAGCCGATTCCCAAGCTGAGCGACAGGCAGAGCTCTCCTCCCACCAGCTCCACAGCCTGCAAATCCCTTAACTGCTTGTGTGCCACGATGCTGCTGCCGAAGGGAGGGAAAACTCCCCCTGTTCTTG